GGGGCGGGCGGGGCGGGCGCGTCATGGTTCAACACCACCTGTTTAGCAGCTCCACACCCACGCCCGGGTACCAGAGCAACAATAGACACCTTGCTCTCTGAGTAGTCAGCCCTCCGCGCGCGCTGCCCAGCGCTCATGCCAAAAATTGTGTTCAATTATAAAAGTAATGATTATTAGGCTAATTCAAAAAATATCACGCAAAAAGACACATCAAGAACAAGAACAATGCAGCGAGCATGCATGAAATGCCTACATGGCGTCTAAAAGCAGATCGTACGAGTGAGAAAGCGCTATGACGCGGCGCAAACTTCTATATTTAAAAAAATTTGCTCGAAACTATAAAATCGAAAATTTTCTTAACTACGGGTACGTTTGTGGTTAACAAAAATTGTTAACGTTTTTTTTTTATTTTAGATGTCGAACAAAGCCGTTCACACGAGTTTTGCACTGGCTCTCATGATTGGCAAGAAGGGGAAACCATTTACTAACGGCCCTTTCGTTAAAGAGTGCCTCGTGAAAACGTCAGAAATTTTGTGCCCAGAGCAGACGGCTACCTTTGACGCCGTTAGTCTGTCGCCTTATAGTCTCTGACAGAGTACAAGAACTAGGGAAGTCCATCGAGTGGAAGTTCAGGCATGTCTGCTCAAAGCTTGTCAAGTTCTCTCTCGCCCTGGATGAAAGAACCGACGTGACTGACACACCTCAGTGTGCCGTTTTCATCAGGGGTGTCCTCGAAGACCTCGAGCTTGTCGAGGAATTTTTGGACTTAGTACCTTTGTATGGTCGCACAAAAAAATGTGGACGTCATGAAAGTGGTAGATGACACTCAGAGGAAATTCAATTTGGCGTGGGATAGGCAAGTATTTGAAATAAAATTCCAAATTATATTTTTTTAGGGTAGCCTCACTGTAGAAAACTGTCACTTCTGGTACATTTTGATTTAAATCATTTTTCGCGTCGGTTTCGCTACCTTTCCCGTCACTCGTAGGTTCGAGTCACTTGCTACTGACGGTGCATCAGTATGAAGGGTGACACAAAGGACGGGCTTGTGGCCAGGCTGCGCCAGAAACTAAAGTCGCTGGACCTCCCTGCCGATTTTACGGCCACACACTGTTTTGTGCACCAAGAGGCACTGGTTGCCAAGACGGTGGAAATGACTCACATAATGAATTGTGTAGTTAAAACTGTGAATCTCATCCGGGCAAGTTCCTTAAACCACAGGAGATTCCGAGCTATGCTAGATGACCTGGGAAGTGAATTTGATTCCTTGCCATACCACAATAAAGTTTGGTGGCTCAGCAGGGGTAATGTTTTAAAAAGGTTCGTCCTATTTTAAACGGCAGTAAATAATTAATTATATTTTGTTTCAAACGTTGACAAGTATTTTTGAAGTTTTCAAATTCTTTTTGCTGCGCGCTAAAATAGGGGACTTTTTAAAGTCAATCCAATAGCCCTGCCCTGACTTGGCAAAGAAAGAGTGGGTGGTAGACCTTGCTTTCCTAGTGGACATTACTGGCCACTTGAACGACCTCAATGTAAAGCTCCAGGGCAAGAACAATCTAATAACGGATATGTATAGGGACATATTCATTTCAGAGTTAAAGTTTTAGATTTCCGATTTCTAAACATTTGGTTAATTTTTAAATGAAGGTTCTGTTT